GGGTTTTCTATATAATAGTTAATATCTCTATATTCCATTGAAGCTAGGGATCATTATTAGAAGCTGGATTAGATACTAGAACCTCTTAATTGCTGTTCTCAAGCAATAATCGATTTATAAGGGGTTTAGTATAGTTTTTAGGCCATAAACCCAATACTTTCTATTCAGCTTTAATATTATGAATTATTAAAGCTTTCATTCTAGCTTTCTGATAGCAATATAGGAAGCTACGCTTTTCAATTGATGTAGAATCAGAGAGAGAATTCAAATTATTGAGTATATGTTGATATATATTTTTCAGAGGTGAGAAGATTGATAAATCTAATGGTTGTAGGACATGTGAGGTTTATAGTGATAGGAATAAAAGATATATGTTGTTTTCGAAGTATCTATATATGAAAGATATAGTTTTATAATTTCTATGATTATCCAATATAAATAATTATATATCACTGGCCTCAGAAGGGGTAGTTTGAGGTATAAAGACCTTTTCCAATTATTCTAGCCCTATTGTATCTGTAATCCACTTATTATCAATAGCAATAAAGTTCCAATCCTTATAAAAAGCAAAATCAATAGGAAATTATTGTTATTGAATATATCTTCCCTTAAAAATGACAAATAGTATAAATACTTGCCCTATTACTGAAATATATTTGATAAAAGATATCCAAACTCTTGAACTAGACTGTTTTTTCTGAATATTTCGATATTGGGAGCTTTCTACTACTAGGCCATTGAGACCCTGATCCTCTATTATCCCAGCCTCGTCTATATTGTATCGATTTTCAGGTTTTATATCGATAATCTCTAATAATTCAAGTTTTCGAAACTATAATGCAATAATATCATGTGAAACATGCGAAACTCGGGCAAAGTTGATCCTATATTATCTCTTGGTTCTAATCTCTGGATTCCTCTCCAAAAAGTTGTATATTCAGTGTTTTCCAAAGATAGAATCGAGTTCTTTTATATCAAGGAGATATTCCTCAATTTCTCGAATTTGCTGATAGGTAGGATTAGTACCCAAGTTTTCCTATACTAATATCCATTCTACTAAATATTTCTTCTGAATCAGAATAATCTTTTGTATACTCTGATAACTTTTTTGATAAGAGATATAGCTATTGATATAATTATAAAGTGTAATACAAGGAATCCTATAATCCAAAGCAGCTTTTCATATCGAAACACTATTCACGATAGTATTTAAAGCTACGGCAATATTATCTTCAATGTAGAGTTTTGATATCATATAAATAATAGTATATCAAAATTTGAAATCGATTGATTGAATGGTTGTTTAATTATGAATTTTTGAAGAGGGTAGGTTGCTTAGGCGGTGTGGGTTTTTAGGGTAGTCCATAAGGGGGGGGTGGTCCATATGTGGGGTAGTTGACTTACTAGTAGTATTTGTGAGTATACTCCTCACGTTTGATACTTACGAGTGTTACTACTAGGCATATTGGATTTTGAGATTAAGAGTTTGAGTTTGAGGGTTTGAGTTTGAAGTCTTGATGTTCTTTCTGTTCGAGTAGTCTATCTTAGGTATGGGTATGAGTATTCGGAGTTCGTTTTTTCCGTTTTGTGTGATGTGATGAGATGTGATGATGTGTGATATGATATGATGATGTAAACCGAAAAACTCATTTTCATCAAAATCATAAATCGATGTTCGTATTTATATAGATAGGAGGCAGGTATGATATATTTTTTCAGAAACCTAACCAGAGCCCTCAATCCTCCCCTCCCTCTCCCTCAAACCCATCTAAACATCCACCGGCTCCGCCTTCTTCTTCTTCGGCTCCTCCAACACAATATTCTTCCTAGGAATCTCCCTATAATTCCTACACAAAAACTCCCTCACATCCTCACTCACATCACCCTGCACCGTAATTTCGAACCCCCCACTCGCCACCTTCGTCACGCTACTCCCCGTCGCAAACTTAGATCCAAATTCCTTAGACACCTTCTTCAACTCCAGTCCAAATGCCTCGAGCCCTTGTACTTCAGTTACGTATTTCCGCTTGTTGCGCTCCACGCGCTTGATGCGGATCTTGGAGCTCGCGAGCGTTTCGTTGTGTTTGGCCTCTTGCGCTTCGGCTTTGGCGGCTTTTTTAGTGGCGTCTTTGGCGGCGCGCTTTTGGGCGTCGACGCTGAGGGTGGAGGTTGCGGCTGCGAGGGCGTCTGAGGGAATGGTTCATTAGTATATAGGATCTACAAACCTTCAGGTGTAGGAAAGTGTACATACCGTCAGACCATAACCTCTCATACATATTTGAGTGTTTCTTCTCGAGCCATTCCTGACATTTCTTCACGGTACCGCCATATTCACAATACTACTTCCATTTATGTCAACAATCTCATCCTCTCTCATCCCAAATAAAACCACAAAGCAACTAAACAAAAGCCTACCTCAGGTGGTAACGAACAAACTATAACCGCGCATTGCATTAGTGAGGGGAAAAATCAGGATAGCGGGGTAAGGATTCATATATATTACCTCCGCAGTAAACAATATTTCGGGATTGAGGTTCTGTTGGAGCAACAGTGGTATCTTCGACATCTGCCATGGCGAGTTATAGTTTAATGGGCATCAAATTTTAAAAACAGCGTACAGGTAGTTCTGGTGTATTTTGTAGAAATCTGGAGGGAATGCCCTCGAGGCAAGTGGGATAGGATGAGCTCAAGAAGGGAAATAATGGAGTAGTTTTTCCGATGGAGCGCTAGCGGCCGCATAGACCCGGTCTCCCCCCTACTTACAAGGCATATTCGCCGGCTATCACGATCACGTTAGATTAGCTGTCTATTAAGCTGTGAGAAATTGGGATTAAAGAACCTATTCAAGCGGACATACAAGAGCTAATCTGTGAATCAGGTTCCCAATCATCAACTAGTTTGCCTCCACGGCAGTGGCCCCCGGAGGACCAGCGGAGCGTCATTACCTAGGATGAGTACCTTTTATGGGGGCAAACCCCCAAACCCCCATAGCTCGCTGCGCTCGAAGAAAGGATGAACGACAAATATAACATATGCTTATAATAACGGACAGCAATTAGTAGTAATTGTGTTAGACAATGGGAAGTTTTTAGCTGAACATTCCATCAAGTTAGAAAATAGTATTGGAATTCGATACAAACATGAGATACGCATGTCTAATCACCCATCTATCCACCCAATATAATAGCGAGTGGATGTAATTGAAGAACCTTTTGTTGCTATCAATTGACTTCTTCTCAAAGGAGTGAATATACCCAAGAAGTGCTGATTGTACATCTTGGAAACCAATCCTAACCATATACACAAGAAGTGCTAACGCTCAACCGTACCATGCCATACACCATTCAATCAACCAAACATCTACGCTAAAGATACAAAGCTCGTATTTCCACATTTCCAGAACCAGAACCTGAAGTAAAACCAGCTCCAAAGACTAAGACCAATCCAATGTCGCTACCAGCATTCAACCATCAATCCAGTTCTAGCTTAAATCCAACAATTCAATGTCCAAAACCACAGGCGACAATATCAAGGTTCTATATGCCTCATGGATATTGATTAGAGAAGGGGTCTCAGCCCGTAACATCCGTAATCAAACACCATGGAGGAAGTTCCCCACTCCAGAGTAGGAGTGTTTCCAATTGAATTTGAGTGCTTTATAAACAAAAGATAAGTTGTCTCTGAACCTGAAAATGTATGAGGTTGTAATCAATGAAATGACCTCATGCTCTCTTTCTCAAGACTCTTCCGATAGCAGTGCTAGCCGGTTGTGTAGATTGTGGAGGTGCTGTCTTCTTGAGTTTTGCAGCTGGTGCCTTTTTAACAATAACAGTTTCTGTACTGGTATTACTGGCATTTCTTCCTCGTGTAGTGTTTGGACCCAAGGTTGAATTAGCAGATCTTCCTCGGCCAGGAGCTGCTCCAGCTGGATTTGTATGAGGTGCAATCTTTCGTCCTTGCCTTGTAGACGGACGGGACACTGCTATGGGTTTGGCTGGTGGGGCAGATTTAAGGGGTGAGGCAGGTAAAGTTCGGGAGTTGGCGGATCTTGGTGAAAGTATTTGTTTTGGGTTCATGTTAACACGGGCAGTCGTTCGTTCAGGTAGAATAGGAGCAGCCTTTTGACGTTTCTTCGGGTTCTCAATGTTATTTTCCTTATCCAAAGAAGCTTCAGCACTTTAAATTGTTAGTATATAGTTTATGTGTTTGAAGGGAGAACCCATACCTGTTCCTCTTGATAGCACGAGATGGTGCGACTTGAGTACTTGGGCCACTCTCAGACTCTTCGACCGGAATCTTCTTTTGAGTATTCTTTGGTGGAACTGGTGGTCCAACTTCATTACGCGCTGTATGTGCGCCAGTATTGTTATGTTTATCGAATAAATCTCCAATCTTCCTTTTGCGCATTGTAATGGGTATACGATTGACGCGAATTTCAATACGCGTCTTTAAACCTTGAGCTTGAACATTATATTGTGCTCTAAGCTTTCTGGCACGCTCAGTAACTATTTGAAGAAGAATTAGTATGGAATTTGACGCGTTTTTGAGGGTAAGATACTTACTTTCCAACTGCAAGTTTTCCATTACAGCTTGCTTTTGACCTGATGTGATAGCCATGTTGTGGAGGCTATTACCGTTATGTGTGTGATTGTTCGTTCGTGTATGATTAATTGTATGAACATGAGATTTGAGAGCTTTTGAACTGCTATATTGTTTTTTAATTGCAATTGTGGTTGTGAGACGTGGTATGGTATGGTATGGTAATTTGAATAATAAACATCATCATTAGATTGTTATCCATCCCATTATCGAAATCGCTTCCTTAGCGCCACAATAAGCGCCACAAGTGGCTAAACTCTCCCCCAATCCCAAAAGGATTACAGGGATTGATTCAGTGGTTCCGAAGCAACGATGCTTGCTGCACTTCTAGCCTTATTAAACGCGCAAACCATAGCTACCTTGAGCAACCTTAACAAACCATCAACTTCTTAATCACCATCAACCATTATCACCACATATACCTCTACAGTTGTCGTCTACCAAATTCCATATTTCCGACTTGATCATTTCAACATAACTCCTTAAATAAACCTTTCGCACATTTGCCCAACGGCAATCCATCCATCAAGATGGTTCTCGAAGCAGTAATGATTGTAGTGGACAACAGTGAAAGTAGTCGAAATGGAGATTATACACCAACACGCTACGAAGCACAATCCGATGCCGCTTCCCTAATCTTTTCCGCCATTACTCAAGCCAATCCCGAATCGTCAGTTGGGCTGATGTCTATGGGTGGAAAAGGACCAGAGGTTCTTGTTACTTTAACAACTGATCATGGAAAGATCTTGGATGGATTACATCGTACTAAGACTAAGATTCGTGGGGATAGTCATTTAGCTACTGGCATCCAGATCGCTGGTGTACGTTGTTAATCTTTCCTTCTATTTCCCTATCAGGAAATCTAGATTGCGGCAAATGCTAATATTAAGATTCTAATAGTTGGCACTCAAACATCGACAAAACAAATCCCAACGTCAACGTATAATTGTTTTCAACTGTTCTCCAGTCGCAGAAGATGAGGAATCTCTTGTCAAACTGGCCAAAAAGATGAAGAAAAATAACGTCTCGATCGATTTTGTCGTATTCGGAGAACTTGATGATGATGTGACACAAAAGTTGACAGTCTTCAATGAAAATGTCAAAGGAGGTGATGGATCACACTTGGCAATTTTCCCACCCGGACCAGGACTTCTCAGTGATCGATTACTTGTTTCACGAATTTTGAGTGCGGATGAAGTTGCAGGTGGTGGAGCTGGTGGGGGAGGAGCTGAAGCTGGCGGTGATAGTGGCTCATTTGAATTTGGTATCGATCCAAGTGTGGACCCAGAATTGGCTTTGGCATTGAGAATGAGTATGGAGGATGAGAAGGCCCGGGTTGAGAAAAACGAGAAGATACGGCTTGATAAGGAAGCAGCAGAGCAATCTGCTTTAGGGGAAATTAAGGAAGAGGATGAGGCATCGGCACCTCTGTTGAATAAAGACGGGGAAGCTAGTGGAAGTGGGGACAAGAAGGATGATGATAAAATGGACACGGCTTAGATATGAAGTGGTGATGTAGGCTGGGGGAATGGAAGGATGGATTGATACTCGAATGAACGGCTGGGATTGCATGGCAAACTGGCGTTTGGTATGTACCAATAGATATCATAAACAATGGTATTTGGCTCTTTGTGGACAAATTATGTCTATTTTGTATACTCCTTGACTCCTGTGTTGCATGGCCTGTGAAGTACTAGCATCGACCCTTTAATTCAATGCTCAAGTCCCAGCGGATTTCTGCCATGTCCGATTAAGCCCATAATAGCCTCCGCCTTTTGTTCTAATGCGCGAGTTCTGACATGGTCCATTAGACCTAATATCATACATGTAAACCTCTATATCTTTCTCGAAAATGCATCACCTAACCTCATGATCTCGCTCTTCTACCCCCCAATCAAACTCCCAGGATTTCAAAACTACCTCATATTAACCCCCCTAATCCACCTCTCCACCCCCCTTTCAAACCTCTCACACCGTACCGGCATCTCTAACTGATAAAACGGATTCTTCATGACAAAATCCGCATACAATTCATATATCTTTCGCAATATCGCGTCTACATTCGGCATACCGGGTTCAGTGAATAGGAGAAATTTCGTGCCGGTAAGCGTTTGGAAACATTGAAGACGGAAGAGTGTCGTTTCGAGCACTTCGATGCCGGAGGGGGCGTCGGGGCGGTCGTCGCTGGAGGGCGGAGAGGAGAGCGAGGAGAGTGTGGATGGGGTTTTGCTGTGTGAGGTGTTGGGTAGGGAGCTGAGTGTGTTGTGTGTAGATGTAGATGAGAGGTGCGAGGAGGGGATGGGGTTTAAGCGGGTGGAGATGGCGTGTACGCTGGGGGTTTGTTAGTAGGGTGGACGGGGGTTATATAGAGGTGTTGCAGTGAGAAAGGGATAATAGGAGGGGGGGTTTGAGAGGGATGGAAAGAATGGGATAGCGAACCCATGGAATGTTCCGGCGAGGACTAGATAATCGTTTATAGAGAGTTTATTCAGGCCTTCGGCGAAGTCTTTTTGATATATGAGTCCGCCGGCTTTATTTATTATTGTGAGAGCGAAGACGACCCTATGTATGTGGTGTTAGTTTGAGAGATTGAGAGAACTAAGGGATTGAGGAATTGGCTGAGAGGAGAGATTTGGGGGTGAAACTTACATTTTGATATTTGATGCGCTCTCACGAGCGGGCGCTGGATCGGAGAGAGAGAGAGACAGAGAGATTCGTGAGAATGAGAATTAGAATTAATTAAACGCAGAACAAAGTCACATTCGTATATTTTCTCCTATTCAATCGATCCAATCCAGTTCAAAAATAAATCAAATTCGTCAATCAAACTTGGCGCATTCATTGTGAAGTCCGCAGCACGAGGCGTACATTATCAAAATGTCGTCTGGAGCAGCCTCGTCCCAAAGCGGTTAAGTGGCCAGCCTTCCCCGGATTTCGAGATTTTGCCGACTAACACATGTTTGTCGATCGCCCGCAACTTCGTTTCTTTCTTCTTCCTAAGTCACCACGACAACACAATTTTATACACAAGTCTATCGAGTCTTAACTACGAGTTCGATTTGTTAAGGTCGACGCGAATTACTAGAACAAGGGATTATTTATAACTCTAGAGTGTTATTCGAGGAATTGGAGTCGTTCGCAAGAGCAATCGAAGTCGAATCAAATCGAATCGAATCGATTCCGTCACAACGAAATTTTCGCGCCACCTACTTCAGCCTCCTTCACCATCAACCTCTCTTCCTTAAAAATGGCGGCGCCACCTCCCACCTCCCGTTCTCGCGCCCCTCCTGCTGGCGACGAAGAAGCCTCGACTGTTCTCAAACTCGGAGAATTCCAAGACGTAGATGCCCTCACGCATTCAGAAGCCGCACTCGTTATTAACGCCCTTGTCGCCAAACGTCGCGGCGATCGCAGAAATGTAAATGAGACGGAGATCTTGAGCAAGACGCAGGAATATCTGGATCATTTTGCGAGATTTAAGAGGAAGGAGAGTGTGGAGGCCGTGGAGAGATTGCTGGCGAGCAGGGGTGAATTGGCGAAGTTTGAGAGGGCACAATTGGGTAGGTTTATTGGTCTCTTTGTTATTGTTTGATTGGGATTTTCGAAATTTGGAGAGACATTTGGGAGATGGGAGCGGGGATGAGGAGGGTGATTTGTGGGAGATGGAATACTGAGAAGATTGTTGGGGACTAAATGCTAATCTTAAATACAGGTTCATTATGCTGTGATTCGGCTGATGAAGCAAAGACCTTAATACCCAGTTTACAAGATAAAATCAGCGATGAGGATTTAACCGAGTTATTGAACGAAATCACAAAGTTGATGGGATTCACGAATTAGGAGATTCTGTCGATTCGTCGTTGATTTCGCACTCAAAATTTGTATATACTCGAGTATCAACAGCCACAGAGGATCTCAAAATAGTGTCGGAACGGGACGGATCGAAGGGGTTTGGTGAGAGAGTGGGGGGCGAGCCAACGAAAAGATACATATTACCGATAATAGGCAGATGGACAGCATGGAGAAAATATACGGACAAAAAAAGTGATCCATATAGAATGGGAAGATCGGCGTTAGGGATGGGATCTTCATTAATATCTTTCGTACGACGATTACGGTTCCGTATGAAGAAAAGGAGCATTGTTGCGGCGTTTTTCATTTCAAGATTTTGATTCGTTATCTGGAGAAAATAAGCTATAAAGGGAGACGAAGATATAATAAAGAAGATGGAGAGGAAGGAGGGGGAGGAGGAGGGAATAGGCGGTCGTGAGAATGATGCTGGAGGGAGGCGATGATGAGAGCTGGATGCTGGATGCTGGATGTGGATAAGAAGATTGGTTGGATGTTGGATACGAATACTCATTGTTGTGTACTGTGGACTAGGTATTCTGCTTTCTCAGGCTTTCAAGCCGGATGCGAAGATAAGGATGGTGTGATTGTAATTATAAAATCTGAATGAAACTTTCTAACTCATCATTCTTATATTCATGGTCTCTATAATGGGGAGTGTGGGTTGAAGTGAGGGCGAGGGTGAGGGTGAAGGAGGCGAATGTATATGATACAATTTTTGAATTCGATGAGATAAATGGTTTGGTATTAGCTATGTCTAACAAGTGTGAAATCAAAGGATTTTTGATTCATCGGTTGTGATGAGTATGGTTATGAGTGTGAGTATGAGTATAAGTGTATCAGCTATATTAGATATATAGATTACTCGTATTCATCTCGTGATATATACAGAGGATAATCAAATCCCTCCTAGATATACTACTTTTCTCTATCATTCATTCATTCCTTGTGTTATCCCCCATAATGCCAGACAGACAGACAGAAGTTTCTTCCTCTACTGCTTATACTTGATCATATTGTTCATATCAAAATAAATATCTTCTTTGCATCTCCTTCTGCATCTTCCTTCTGCATCTTCCTTCGGTTGTTGCTATATATATATAA